TGGTGACTAGTAGTTTGCAAAGTCTGGGTGAGCATGGAGTGATTTTACCAGACATGAGTGAGATGCTATGTAAAAGCAGTCGTATGGTGTTTGAGGTTTGTCTTTGTAACTGGCTCCAGCATTCAAATACACCTCCTCCCAAGCTGTTGTTTCCTACTCTGTACATAAATCTTCCATCCACTTAGCTTGAATTTTGTTTTTTTGCTATGAAAGACATTATAGATATGAGATGTGATTGCCTAGAGAGGGCAGGCAGATAATCTCAGTTGTAGAGTTATATTTTTCTGTGTTAGCTTTCCGGGTTTGCCCTTTAAAGATATGACAGTTGTATATAAGTGGAAGTAATTTAGCCCTGGAGGGGTGAAATTCTTTTTTAAGCTCTCCATGTAATCTTCATTTGTTATTGCAAAATGATCTCTAACCAGGAGCAACTGGGTCCAATCTCAGGCTGAATTATAAATAACTAGGAATCCTGGGGCAGTGCTCTGCAGTGCCAGAGCTGTTGCCAGATGCAGTTGGCGTCAGATGGACGTCTAACTCAAAGGCATCTGCCCATATTTCACCCACAGGTATTTCAGACAGGAGGGGAGCTGGAGATGTGCCTGCTGACTGTCCTGCAAGTGAAGCCTTCCCAGCACCATGGTGCAGAGGATCAGATGGGCTGGCACTCTACAAAACTAGTGGCTGTACCAGTACAGAGTAGAAGACAGTCCTTGCCTAGAAGAGTTAAAAGGCTGCAGCTGGTAACAGAGAAGTGCAGTGACTGCCTCTGGTTGTTCAGCAGCTCAGAAAACCCTTGGAATTGATTTGGCTCTGCAGACGCTTTAAAAACAAGTTTAATCCCTTTACACTAAATCATTCTGGTTTAGTGCTAGCATGAAATGTCCTGACCACCATTTTATATACAAGCATGAGGTCACTACAGCCAGTCCTGGATTATGAACACTCTTCAATGGGAGTATCACCATTTCAAAATGATGCAAGGCTGTTTTTGTACTGAGGAAGCGGTGCGATCTTGTTACCCAGAACTAGGTCATCAGAAGCTAGTGCAGGGCAGGGCTGGGAATATCAACCCACCAGCCTTCTCCCACTGCATGTGCAGAATGGACCAAGTCACGTGAGAAAGCAGAACATTTGGGCAGGAATTTATCTAAGGTGGGGTGCTATGGATCACATCTTCATCATGTTTACATATATGATTCTTATGCAGCTATGCCCCTTGGATGCTCACTGAGGTTAGGCTAAAGAGCAAGGCACCCTTAAAGAACTGGAGTAGATTCATATGACCTTTCGGGAATAACAACTAGTTTCTTACTGATCTTCACAGTTGGGAAGAGCAATATTTCCTGTAGTGGGGTTAGCGCCTGTGTTGCAAGACTTGTGAGAAAAAGGACGGTGAATGTTTCTTTCTGGTTCCTTCAGGTAGGATAACTTCTGGTGAAAAGATGTGATTCAGTCTAGCTTTGTTTTGTGGGAAGTTCAGGAATATCTTGGTCTATCTAATGGCGTGGGAAAATAGCTTGTTCTTGTCAGACAAGGAATATTTCCAGCCAGATAGCTAGAGCTAACCTTAACTGATTTGATCTAGCAGTATGGCAGCACTGAAGAGTTTAATGTGGGCTAAAAGGTGACTGGAGTGTACATATACCTTCATTGATCAACAAATCCCTTACAACAGGCCACCTGTGAATGCTGTTACAGCCCTTATCTTGCTAACCTAATGGACTGCCACCCCTTTACAGGAGGGAGACTGTTTCTTCATATCTGGGAATGTGACGGGGCAAGGCCAGATGGACAGTGCTTATGAAACAGAAAGAGGAAAGACAACGTTTTTGCAGACTATGCAAAGGTCACAGCATCCACATCGTGCGTCATCAGGACTTTAAAATTGCTTGTATGTGTTTAAGTGAAATGGGTCTAGGGAGACTACAGCAGATGAAAAAACATTTAGGGAGCTAGCCAGAGACAGTTATGCAAGAGTCCAAGACTTCAAACAGATGTCTACACACGCTTCTGCCCAGCCTCATTTCTAGTACCTGTCCCTTTGTGATGGTTCCTATTTTAAGTTTTCATCCCAGGTCTAGCTCAAACCTGAGCTGGGCAGACAGAAATGAATGGAACACTGCCCTGCTTAACGCTGGTTTTCTGCTGCCCCATCAGGTGTAAATGACTGACTGGCTTCAGAAGCAGAAATGCGTAGAAAAAAGAGCGATGATGCATTCAGTGCTTGGAGTGATGAAGCCCTGGGGCTCTCTAAGCCTGGTGTTCTCAGATCAAGCAGCCACCAAAGCACATGACACCGCAAATTTATGTCCTGCTCCTCCTTCCCAGCTCTCCACCCTTCATAAAATCCATCAATCAATATGCCTGCTCCAAATTCCCCAGAGACACGCTGTTACCAGACCCAGCCAGCCAGCCAGCCATCAGTTACTGAGGTACAGCTCATAAGTAGCTCACTAAAGAGCCTGCCGGGATAAGGGAGGGAACTGCTGTGGGTGTATTGTTACAGCCCCATCATTTCCCAAAACACTGAATGGAGTAATAACTTGTTTATAATGATGCATGACATCAAGGCAATGCTATACAGAAGCACTTGAGAAACTGCTTTGAACCCTATGACCTTCTTCCAAGTAAGAAAATCTTTAGGGATGCCATGGGATGAAGAAATATCCTTCTTCCTCCCTTCTGGTTCTCTAGAGAATTATTATTGTTGTTGTTATTATTATTATTATTATCATTAAATGGACAGGACCACATCCACTTGCCACTCTTGAACCTGCTTATTTTATTTTCCTTTGGAGGTGATCACTCTGGCTTAAAGTTGAAGATATTCCCTTGCCAGGAATTGATGGGAGTGATACACCAATTATTCCATAGCAGATTTTTGACATAAAATGAACCATGTCCAGGCATTTGAGCTATTCTCCAATAGGAGGAAAAAATTCCATTCCCTATCTGTGTCACACCATGTCCACATATTTATTCTGACATAATTATTCTCTCCCTTTTCCTTTATTTACTCTGGTTAAAGTAACTGACCTTACAGGTTCACAGCTTTGATTTTGATACACTCTTTCTTTGCCACAGCACCACAGCTAAATCCCTTTGTGCTACACGGCAACCAATCCCTTCCTTTGGCAGTGCACTCGGTATGCTGCCTGGTTGGATTCCATGTTTCTCAGCAATAGAGAGCGTTTGCTGACCAGCTAGCTCCTTATATTTTCATGTTTTACACTGTAGCAAAAATAAAAGCAATCCAAATTTTAGGGGGGTTGAGGGGGAGAGGGGAGGACAAGCCAAAACAAATGACAACTGCCCCTGTTCTCCTGAGATATCTGCTTTAGAGATGAAATCTAACGCACCTTCTACTCCATCCTCCCCCAGGCAGCTTCTTCCAAAGAAAGGAATAATGTCTTCAGTATCAGTGTGGGTGACTTACATCTAGGGGACTAAAAAGTCTTAGGACTGAGCCCTGCAGACGACTTAAGCTGCTCTGTGTACAAAAGTCCACGCATAGAAAGCAAAAGCTTTGTTTTGTTGCCCCAAAATGGAAGAAGGTTTAGAGGCTTGCTAAAAACAACTTTTGATCAGTTTTACACATGTAGACAATGCCGCCTTTAGTGTCCCATATGGTCCCAGCTGTTGGCATAAGCAATGACAATGACATTCATTTTTTTGCACATATGTCCCATGCAAGTCCAATTTTTCAGCTGCCTGCTGATGGGAAGTGATATTCACCCCGAGAAAAGCTGTCCTTGAGGCCCACAGGATCCCAAATGCTGTGGAAAAAGTGTCAGTGGGGAGGATTAGCTGTACTATCACTTCCGGCTACCATCTAATTTTATCTGTGTATCACTGATGCCGAACGTCATTCTTTTTACCATGAGAACCCCTCGACAAACAGGACTAAAAATAAAAAGCAAGAGCTCAGAGTTGGCACAAAGTGTGCTACATGGACTCCAATTTGTATAGCAGGAACTATAATCACTCTGAGACGTGCCCAAGCCCTCAGGCATCCCACGGGATTTCAGTCACTTGTTTACAAGGTGTTTTGATTTGCAGCTGTTTGACTACTGTGGCATTTCAAGAGGGGGCGGTTTGAAAGGATGTTGTTACTTTGGACGTTTGGATTGGGAAATGGGTATTGAAAAATCACACAAGAAAACAGGTGAGTGCTGCCTTTGTTCCTCCCCTCCTTACATATGAATGACGTCAGTGCTGGAGAAAGGAGCGCCGAGAACAGATCTGGAGACCGGCACTTTGGAAGGGAATAAGCAGGGAACAGGTAAAGCTCTGAGAATGGAGCCATTCCCTAACCTACACCACCAAAGTTCCCCATACCTGATCTGAGGGGACTAAGCACCGGATGTAAGAAGGGAACCATCCAAGCCCATTGCTTTTCTGCCTTTTCTAACAAGGCTGCCAACAAATACATTGACACTGTGCCATCAACTCCCTATGAACGGGGCTAAAGGCCATCACCAGCTCACTTCAAACAGGCCAGCAGCTGAAATGGATTTGGTCACTGGCTCATAGTGGTTTAGCTCTTTCCATCATTCCTGCTCTCCTGACCTGGACAGTACCTCTTTCAGAGCTGCCTTAAGCTAATGCCCACTTTCTTCTGAGCCCTCTTGGGATAATGGATTCAGAAATGCAGAAAGAATGTAAAAATCCACCTGCTATGTGGGATGAGTGATGTGCCCATGAGTGTTTGTTTAACACTGTGGACAGCATGAACTCTACTAAGTTGTAACATGATGAGAAAGGGAAAGCAAGGGGAGAGGAGAAAATAGCCTGGCTGTTTTAAAACTATGTCCACCTAGCTGTGTGCATTTTGGGCTTAGTTAGCTGTTTGCCTGTTTTTCTGTGGGAAACCAGGAAGGACACGTGGAGCTTTTCCCAGGCTTTAGTGTGTTATTCTCTTGTTTCCAGCACTGGGTTCTGTATGTGTTAATTGACAGTAACTCATGTAGAAAACAGAGTGCCAAGAGGATATTTACCTTGCAAACATTTCATCTGCTGCCCCGCTCTCCTTTCCTGCGACTTTCTCAAGTGATGACTGATTTGAAGTGCCACACGCACTTGAAGAAGCATCACTCCTGCCAACCTTCGGCACAAGCGCCTTTGCCTGCCCAGTGTGTGCCAGCAACCTGACCGCACTGTCTTGGCAAGAAGCAGCCATCCCCTCACTTCCTGGAGGTAAAAGAGGGCTCAGCCTAGAATGTAAAGCATAAAAATGGAAAGAATAAGTTAGGGTACGACATGACAAATTGTTGTTTTTCTAGCTGAATTAAAACCCACCCTGTGTTTGATTCTGAGTGACACTGATCGGTTTGGCACCAGCAGCTTCTCCACTGGAGACGTAAGTGACTCCTCTCTCAGCAAGCACCAGAATTATCTAGGCTGGCATTACAGTTCATCACACTCCTTGCTTTCTTTAGGCAAAGTTGAAGGAAAAGATGTGCATTTGCATTGCACATGCCACCGAAGATCCCAAAGTACCTGACTTATCCTAGCCCACACAGCAGATCTGTATCACAGTCATGGTTAGAAATCCTGACTCTCCCTCCTTTCCTCCAGCCAGGATGCCTTGTCCCCAAGGTTAGCTATGACTACAGCCATCAGGGGCGTGCTACGCTGTCACCACCTTGCCATACGCACCCGTTTCAGCCTCTCTGGTTTGCACCCATAGCTATGGAAAACTGCCTGCAGAAGAGGCAGCTAGAAAGGAAGCCGAAGATTGCTGAAGTCTATTCTAATCCACGGTGTCTATATTTATGCAGCCCTTGTCACAGCAGAGCAGAGAAAATGTCACTGGAACAGTTTCCTTTTTGCCAGCAGGCAAGAGGTTTAAAAAGAGGCAGTATAACCTCTATTTGATGATGTGTTTGTACAAATGTTTAACTTGCTATTTCATTTTAAAATCATCTTTAATGTTGATTTATATTCCTGGCAGTGAAGCCAGGAGGTTGGCAATCCCCTTCCATTTCAGTCTGTTCTCTGACTGAAGCAATAACGCAGATCAAAGAGAAGTCTTACAGCACTCACATTCTATCATCCTGACTGTTTTCAAGTTCTCACTCTGGTATCCATGGGCAGATTATGTAACTACGAGATTTATACTTCTGAAGGCCAAATAGTAAAGACGGAGCCGATGTATCATTAAGAGGAAGTATTTGGAAACGACTGGATTCAAACAAAGAGCAACATATCAAGTGAACACTTGACAGGAGCCGCGTGGCTTTCCTCGAGATGTCGTCTTGCTCCAGTCTTTTACAGGGTCAGCCACTTGTGTTTATGCCACAGGATATCAAATTAACTGCATGTTATTAAGCATCCCAACTCTTGCTTCCCATGTAAATACGTCAGGCTGAAATTCTCATTGCCTTAGTAATCGCTAAATAGTCAAGGACTTGAGCTCCATCATTAACGGTGTAGCCAGTGGGCGGGAGAGGGGGAAGTAAGCCACAGAGTTGTTATCCTTTAGAGGATAACAGCTTACAGTTCTTCTCCTAACTGCTCAGAAGAACATGAAAACTTGCCTGCGTGCCCCTCGAGCCTCCCTGCCCATGGGTTTTGCACAGTCTCTCATAACACTGATAGGTTTGGTTTCCTAATGCCTCAGGGACTTGACACCACAGCACTGCCCCCTTTTTCACACAACAGGGAACACGGACAGGTGGGGGTTAGCAGATGTGCTGCAGGATGATAGAATGCACTGAGAGCAGCCCCAAAAAGAAAGGCTTGGGGGTGCCGGCTGACAAGAAGCCCAAAATGACCTGGCAGTGTGCAATCACAGCCCAGAAACCAACTGTGTCCTGGGCTGCATCAAAAGCAGCGTGACCAGCAGGTCAAGGGAGGCGATTCTCCCCCTGTACTTCACTCTTGTGAGACCTCACCTACAGTACTGTGTTCAGCTCTGGGGGCAACAACACAAGAGGGATGTTGCTCAAATGAGTCCAGAAGAGACGAGCTCTGCTGTGCAGACAAGCTGAGAGGGCTGGGCTTGGTCAGCCTGGGGGAGAAAAGGCTCCATATGGGGAGCTCTCAGCAGCGCCAGTGCCTAAAGGGGCTGACAAGAAATCTGGAGAGGGACTTTTTACAAGGGCACACAGTGACAGAACAAGGGGGTTTAACCTAAAGGAGGGCAGGTTTAGATTGGATAACAGGAAGAGGTTCTTCCCTGTGAGGGTGCTGAGGCGCTGGCACAGGGTGCCCAGAGAAGCTGTGGCTGCCCCATCCCTGGCAGTGCTCAAGGCCAGGTTGGACACAGGGGCTAGGAGCAACCTGCTCCAGTGGAAGGGGTCCCTGCCCGTGGCAGGGGCTGGAGCTGGTCTCTTCCAACCCACACCATCCTGGGGCTGTTCTGTGGGGCTGCACCCCATGGCGGCCGCCCCGCACCTCAGGCGCTGTCTCCCTGCACCCGAGTGTCCCAGCACCGCCCCTGCTCCCGGCCACCAGGACCGGGCCGTGCCGCGGAGGCTCCCAGCGCCCACCTCCTGCCGCTAACGGGCACCGCGCCCCGCCCAACCGCCGCTCTGCGCCCCGGAACCGCTTCCGCGGGCGACCCGGAAGTGGCGGCGGCAGCGGAGGGGTCTGTGGGCGGCGGCCGGCGCTATGTTTGTAACGGTAGCGGCCTGTGAGTGGCGAGGGGCAGCGGAGGGGGGAGCGGGGCCGCGGTGGGCCCCTGGGGTGGGGAGCCCGGGGGAAGTGGAACTTGTGAGCCCTCAGTGGGGAGGTTGGGAAGCGCCAGCGCTTGAGTGGAGAAATGGGAAGTGGCGGCGGGGGGGAGAGGGGTTGGGGTGAGAGATGTGCCCTCCTGGTGTCTGGATGAGGCTGGGGTGTGATGGAGGAACGGTGCCGAGGGAGGCTGGCCAGAAGCTCGTGGTGGCCTAAGCAAGACCTGCATGGGTGGAATACAGATCAGCCTTTTCTGGGGGGGGGGGGGTTGTTTATCGGTTACGCTGTAGATTTATGATTGCCTTAGGTTCGGTTTAGTGACAGAAATCGGTAATTCTGCCTGTTTCGTGCTGTGTGGCGGGTTAGATCAGGGGAACACAACACAACCTTCCGGGAAGGTCACTGTTATCTGAGAACGGCTCTGGCCTGGTTCACTGTGCGGCCACACGAGCCATGGCACTGTGACAGGAGCCAGAGCAGGTGCAAGCAAGCAGAGAGTGGGGCTGCAGCTCTCAGTGGCAGAGTTGTTTATATCATACCTGCCCTATGTACATCCCCATAGTGAGTTCATATCCAGCACCTAAAGCATCTGAAGGCTGCAGCAGCTGCACACCACAGAGGTGGTGGTGGTGAAAGACAAAGCAGGCAACTGTGGGCACATAGATGGGTGAAAGAGTGCAAGGTTTTGGTGACAGCAGAGCTCTTTCACAACCTGTCTGGGGCTATGGCAAAGGCAGGCAGTGGAAAACTCTTAATCTTTATATGTTGCATACAGAGGAAACAAGATAAAATAACTGTTTTTCTTTTTTATTATTCTTCCTCTTCTTCGTGCTGCAAAAAACCAGTGGCCAAGAGCAAATCTAAGTAAGTGTTTTCCTCATCAGCTTTTGATTTCTCCTACTACCCTATATCTTCAAGTGACTTGACATAATATTAGGTATCTCTAGCATTTTGTAATGTACCTGAGAGGACTGCAGTCCTTGAGTCTAGCTGCATCCTCTGCATGTGTGTCTTTTCACAGGTAAGTGCAGAATGGTATGAACCTCCCTCAGGTTCTGGAAGTGCAGCAAAGGCAGGTTTTGCCCTATAGGCTGTTGCATTTTGCGGAGTTGTAATATCCAAAGCACCTTGCACAGGGAAAACACACGTCTGTGCTTTGTGATTAAAGAGAGGCTCTAAATTATCCCCATGACCTTCCTCTTGTTGGCCTTACATATGTTTTAGTTGAGGACGGCAAGCTGGGGTACAGTGTGGGTCTTTGGGCAGGTGCCGTGAACCCTTCCCATGGGCAGAGTGCAGGACACTTCCCAGCTATAGCATGTTTGTGTGTCTGTGTGCAAGCGGATGGGGTGCAGGCAGTGCTCTGGGCATCTTGGTTTGCTCTGTACTCCAGCTCAGGATGTCTTTGTGTTTTACTGTTACCTGTTATTTGTGGAAACAAACACAGTAAAGCAGGATGTTTCTGTGAGGTGGAAAAACAGCTTTTTAGAAATGATGTTTCTCATGGTAATGTGCTGATTTCCCCCACTGCCTTTTTTGTTTTTCCCCTGGTCTTCCTTTCTCTGTTCTTTGCATAGTCCCATCTATACTTCAGGAATATGTTATCTCCTTATAGTATCTATAAGATTAGGTTTTTTGAACAAGGTGTGTATTGTTCAGAAAAGGCTTGGCCTCAAATCTGTGGTGCACAAGAATTTTAAGGCCTGATACCACTGAAAGGGGAAACCACACAGAGGGTTTGAGGAAGTGGGTGAGATACAGGGGAAAGAGTCTGTGTGGTTACTGTTGCTATAGTACTGTACAGGAGAGGGTAATAACTGGGGATAATCCCTAGACTGTCCTTGATCATTTGGTCTCCAGGAATCCAGCATTCTGTTTATTTTGATGTCTAGAGTGAATTAGCTTGCAGAGCTAAAAAGGGAGAGCTCAAGGAAGTAGCTGCACAAGTGGGGAAGAATGGATGTCTCTTCAAGGTTAATTTTGACAGACCATTTTGTATTAGAAGCAGGAAAATCCAGGGAAATTAATTGAATGCTTACATGCAGAGATGTATCCACCTTTACATTGCAGTGCAAGAGAAGGACGCAATTTGCAGGCTGGTTAAAGGGTTTGACCTTTCTTTTGAAACTCCAGAAGCTGCCCTGTGTCTGGGAAGTTGTGCCGATCTCGGCATGCTTCCAGGCTGGAGGTGTGGTGTCTCCTCAGTCTCCTGGCTTGCCCTGCTCCAGGGACACTGCAGCTGCTGCCAGTCAGCCCCACAGGCCAAGAGCCCTCCAGTGCGGAAGGGGCTTCCTGGTGCTGGATTAACATCAAGCCCCCTATCTGTAGTGGAATGGGCTGTGCTGATGTGTCCTGCTTCTCCTTTTGCATGCCACTTGTTGCATCCTATCTGCTCGGGTTCTTCTCTGCATGTGGAAGTGATATTCTGTGATGCAGTGTCATCTATAGCCCAAACATCTTCAGCTACCATCATCCTTCCTCTGTTGCTCTTCTAAGTTACAATGACTCAATTGTATGCTGATTCATTTTTCTTTTCCTTTTTTTTTTTTCCCTCCTTCTTTTACTTTCCCTTTTTTCCCTTTTTCTTTCCCTTCTCTTTCCTTCTTCCCTTTCTTTCTCTCTTCACTGCTTTGTGGAGGAGCTACATTTTTCTGGGCTTGTATTCTGTTAAGGAGTTACTTAAACTTGATGCTGGATCTGACGGGTTATAGTGGGCTCTTTGTCTGTTGTAAGTTTATCATATAATACTGACACTCCTCTCCAGAACAACCATGAAATTGAAATGAAGTTGTTTATGCTGAAACCTTGTCCATGCCCTGGCAGAGGGGGCAGGCCCTTGCTGCGCCTTGGTGCACTGATGCAAAGACATTCCTTGTGACTTTAGATATATCCTAGTGAGGATGAAGAGTGCGGCGGAGACTGGCTACTGTTTCAACGTCAGGAGACTCCGGCTACAGGAGAAATTGGTCCTGTACAAGTACGATCCCATTGGTAAGAGCTGGGGGAAGAAGTCAGCCTGCTTTGTATAAGCTTCTTGGACTGTGTGGGGCAAAAGGTTTGAAAGTAACAGGATTTTTCCCATCTAAGCAGAATATGTCATAAGATGTTTCATACTGAGATGACTGTATGGTTGCTGTTCTTTATGACATTCCAGTGGGAAGTAAACATTACTCTCATTACAGATTGTGGCAGTGAAACAAAGTAATGACTTGCCTGACACATCAGAGCTTTGATGACAGCCATGCCACATGTCAGTGGCAAAGCAAAGTAACACAGGAGTTCTTTCATTCTGTTTCTTTGTGTGGTTTGATAGACTGTGCTACCTCTAACAAGCAGCCACGAAGTACGCCTCAATAGAAATGCTCTTTTATGCTCCCATGGGTGCTCTAGACAATAAATTTTAACCATCACTTACATAATAGACTTTTTCTTTTGAAGAAGTAAACACAAGTTCGTCCTTCTCCACAGATGATACTGCTGTCCACATGACAGTTTGTGGTTCTTTTGTGTTCCTCTGGACTTTGTAGATTTTCTCAGTTTAAGAATCCTATTTGTCGAGGGGTTATTGCACTTGCCAAGCTGCCTTTTGCTCACCCAGCTTTCTGAAAGATGGCTCAGAGCTCAAGTTTCTGAGAGAGAAACCAGTCTGTAGTTACTATTAAAAAGCTTAATTTGGGGAAACTTAGAACTTTAACCGGAGCATGCAAGAAATAGCATGACGGAGTTAATGCGAGAAAGGCTTACTTAAATCCCTAGAACAGAGAAGTGTATTAAGCAGCTCTAAGTAGATGACATAATGCATGGCCAATAGTTATGTGGTTCAAGATTACTTTTTGCTTATGTTCTTGTTATCTGAGTGACCTTTTCACACTGAGCTGTAACAGTACAGGAGGTTCATGGCAGGTGAGAGGAGCCACCACAGAAGCAGTATGCTCTCATTAGAGGACTCACACTGACAGAGGTTGTGGCTCCCCTCATACAGAAGGGGAACTGGAGATCACTGGGATTATTTTGTTGACTAAGAAAAGTTGAAATTACTGCATTGAGACATTGTGCAAAGTGATCTTCCAGAAGCTTCTCAAGCTGTAGGGAATGCGAAGAGTAGGAGAGCACGGGCTAAGTAGCGCTTCTGTTGTGGAACATGTAGTAGGTTGTTGAAGTACGAAATTGGAAGTAATTAAGAAAGAAAAGCTCTGATCTTTGTAGCCTGTAGTAGAACACAAGTGAGAAATCGATGTGAGAAAGTGCTGCATGTGTGAAGGGAAGTAAATCCGAGTCTAGATACCAGCTCACATCAGGAATATGTTAGGAAGCGTTTTCACTTGGCATGCATTTTCACCTTATGTTTTGTACTTACCAGAAACCTGGGACCTCTGCAGAACGAAGCTTTTTAGTGAAGTAGTGGCAGTGGTGCCCAAGTTTCACTACCTCCTAACTGCAGCAACAGAATGTGTTACTAAGTTGCACTATTTCTTAAAATGAAACTTTTATGTGGAAGCAGAGATTTTGTTGTTGTGTAGCTTTCACAGGAATTCATAGAACGAAGTTCAGTCAGAACAGTGGTGGCGTTCGCATGTCCTTGTCAAGCTTTGCTTTCCTTTATTTTGGGGCTTTTTTAAAGTAATGCATTGACTATGCTGGACCTGCAGCTGAACTGACTTTGCCAACATGTGCGTCAGGCGTTGAAGGCAGGGTCAGTTTGTGCTTCTCTCATTGATCCACAGGACTCTTAGTTAACGTTTCAGTCAGTCTATGAGACCACCTAGATCCAGCTCATCATCTGTAGTTGTTCGGGCTTTGAAGTCGAAGAACAGTAGAAAGCAATAAGAACCTATTTTTGTCCCTACACTGAGCAGCTGTGACTCAGAATAGTCACACAGAGCAGCTGCTGAATGTTTTCAGGCACTCCAATCTTGATACTTATTTCCGTAGAGGTAAAATGGACCTCTTAGGAACTAAAAATTACATGTGGTGAAGTGAAAGCACTACTAAACCTTTCAAGACCTGGTTAGCAGCAGCTCCACACTCAATTAAGCAGTGAAGACAGCCGTGAGAAAGGGACATAGGCTCGTTGGATTGCATTTTAACACTTCAGGCTACTTAACAGAGTCTTTTTTTTCCCCTCTAGCAAAACAACGTGTCCTCTTCACAGAGAAGAGAAAAATCCGCTCGCTCTGAACAATGACCGGAGTTGATTTATGTGAGAGGAGAGATGGTCTGGGGGGAGGATGGGGTGAATGCTGATTCAGAAATCCAGCAACATGGGCTGAAAAGAGAGGAAATGAACTGGGATCACCGTCTCCTGTGATTTGAAGGCCATTGTGAATAAAACAATGTAGAGAGAGAAAATTCTTAATGTCTGGACATAGATCATCAGAGTAACATTTATTTATCTTTTGAGTTATTTTTACAGTACTCAATTAAAAAAAAATTAAATAGCAAATCCCATTGTGTTTTCCATTGTGAAAGAGGCTGTAATCTTCAAAGGAGCTATTGTTTTATACGGCAATAAAAATTAACATTTTCCACAGCAGGAATTCAATGGCAGGATTGCGAGTTTGTCTAACCTACCAGCCACAGATTCAACAGTAGTGACCACGAACTGGTCATTCCTTGGAGGGGAAGTTCTGCACCAGCACCTTCCTAGGAAAGGAATAAACAGTGGGAACCCGGTGAATTGAGATGAGCTTTTGGATAAGCTGTGACCACGGCTACAAGGGCTAGGTTATTGTCAGTCAGGTAAGCAGGATGGAGTTTTCTCTCCTGTGTGTTTGTGAAGCATGAAGAAAGCAGACAGTCAATGTAGTTCTGGGATGGTTTTGCAAGTTTTTCTTCTTTAATTAGCCCACCTCTTAGCTAATAGTGCTAGAAATGTTTTTCAGAGTCTACCTTAGTAGCACTCTCATCCTCTTTCCAGTCTGAGGGACCTTCCCGAGCCTGGCAGAGCACACGGGAGCAGATGGGGAAGGAGCCAGGTGCTGGCCTGGGTGTCTGCAGCCCAGGACTGACGCTGTAGTCTCAAAGCTAGTGCTCCGCATCATGTGAGCATTAGCCCCATGGTTGTGTGTGGGGCTAGAGAGACCTGCTGCTGTGCTGTGCTCAGGAGACCCCATGTGCCTACCCCATCTTACTGCTCTAGAGCAGCAACAAACAGGATTCCTCAGGTAAGAAGCAAAAAGGCTTTCCTGGTCTTTCCAGGTGGCAGAGAAGAACCTCAGTGGTCAGGAGACTAATGTTGTCTGTGATAAAATAAGATTGGTACCTTGAGCTAACCAATGTCAGTTAGAAGAGGTTCTGGGGCAAGTCCTTCCTATAAGGATATGAAGATTGTGCCCCTGCTGCCTGGACGCTCACTGATGCGACGTAGTTAGAATTCCTGACCATTTCCTCCATGGGTAACTTGGGATAGTAAGCCAGGTAGAAGGCCAGTGCTCCCACAAAACTGTCTCCAGCTCCCTGGAATAAAACAACAAGTTTTAGTAACCTCAGAGAGGGAAACAATTCAGACACATTTACTGGAAAGACAAAAAGTTGCAGCACGGGTTGCAGGAGCCAGAAAACTGTTTGGGGGTTGAGTACTATTCACTTTCCTGTGCCCAGGAAATTCTGCTGTGTTGAACTATAGATACTACCATCCTATCCAAACCACCATCCTGTCTTTGTGCCCAACTGTTGAGTCAAGGTGCACACTATAACATGACCGAAAACATAAAGAAAAGCAAGTGTGCCACAGTTCAGCAACGTGCTGTTCTAAAACTGCTTTTGAAACTTCCTGTTATTGGAGTGTCCAATTTTGATTTCTCAACCTGAATGTTTCATTAAAGTTATTTTTCTCTCCTTTAACTTCTGTTTTTCATAAAGGTCAGTGGTAGAAGGGACAGAGAAAAGGGGGGGGGGGGAAAGAAACCACGTGGCTTGTGGCATCTGTAAATTCCTGGTTGCAGAAAGATACAGTTGGATGCCTCTAGAACTTGGCTGCTGCTCATGATAAAGGTCCCACTCATGAAGGTCTGTGCAGTGGCTCTCACATAACCCACTCTTACTCCCGGAGCAGGCTTTGGCACCTGTGATGGTTTGCTATATGAGTGGAAGACAGTGAGGTTCCCCTGGCAGCTATGGCCCTTTCCAGCTATCCGTCCCTGGGCCACATCTCCCAGCAGAGCTGTCCCATGCTCTGCCCACCCTGCATGATGAGCCCTGGGCAAACAGGGAGGACACCATGCCCTGGCTTGCTCTGAGGTACCACTGGTGCTGCTCTGATCAGCAGAGAATGACAACTGTTTCCCTCCCAAGTGCTTTTGAACAGTAACTGCTGTTTTGTGGTGTTGACTGCTCTGTAGTGTCCCTGACAACTGGCAAAATGATTCATTTTTAACTAGATTTGCTCATTTCATTCCACAGGGTCCCTTCCACCTCCTCCCCTAAAACTGCCTTGATCTCTAAGGCCAGACTAGTAGCAATTCTTGTTGATATCATAAAACTGGTTCTAAGGTCCCCTTTTTAAAATCATACTTTATATCAGGAAAAGCATTACACTGAATGCACTGGTAATATCTTCTGCATTCAAAACCCAGCATATGGACTATCTCCCCTCAGGGGATTTGCCTCTGGAGTTGTAATAAATAGTCCCCAAGGGTCATGGGACAAGAAGAGCACAGGGCCTGGAAAAAGTTAGTTAAGATAGCTGAGCAAAGTTTCTAACTGGAAGTTAAGGTTAGGAAGTAGTTTTCCAACCCTGAGTTCTAGTGGTTCTCAGTGTTAAACTCCTACTTACCCTAAAATGAGCTGCATGTAAGATCATTCCAGCTAAAATCCCACCACTTCCACAGAAATCTGTCCGTAACGTTACAAGCAGCTGACAGGCAGGGCAGAGCAGTGTGGCAATGTGAGGGGACCCTACAAGGGTAATCACAGGATGCAGGCACCCACACCGTGCCTTGGCTCTCTTTGTCCAGCCCTTCCACAGCAGCTGTTTGCATTGGCGTTCCCAGCTGGGAAACTCCCTGCTTAACTCTCACTTAGCCTGGTGTTTGGACTCTGTCTCCCATTGCCTTCCCAGTGGGACACGATGGAGAGCAGCATGTGGCCAGTCAGAAGTTAACAGGGAAGCTGTACCCACCTGTTTCAACAGTTCTGTATTCCTGAACATACCATGGGCTTTTATCAACTTCTGCTGGGCCTTTGTCTCTCTCCTGGTTTCCAGAGTGCTCCCACAAAGGCAGGTGGAGCAGGAGCCCGTGAGTGCTAGTTAAGCATTGCCAGTGCCTTTTGTCTGATGCATAATACAACAATCTCTGGCCCATCTCACGAGTTTATAATCTAATCAGTGCATGATTAATTATTAAAGCTATTTTGGCGCTGCTGTTACAGACAAGTAGAATTTCAGATCTGTTATGCTGTAGCTCTAGCAGGAAGAACTCATTTCTACATCAAATATTTCTCATACCGTGATCACTGGGTAATGGAAGTGGCCAAATACTATTTTCATGAGGAATACCCAGAATATCAGGTGTCAAATAGCAAAAACTATTACTCACAAGCAGCATCAAACAGAATACTGGCTTTCTGATCTTTTTAAATGGAGGTAACTAAATACTGCCCCAAATATTTGCTGCACTGTGTGCTACTGGAGCAAGAAAAGACTAACTGCACCTCTCCCAGGTCTTAGCATGGATCGTGGCAAGAAAGAACGTATGTGATTCTCCTTGCAATGTTCCTGTGCCTCTCCACTTGTGGGTGATGCACTGACATTGTGAGGTAGCTGTAGGTCTCCCTTTTGGAGAGGCTGGGACTACAAAGGTGGAAAAGGTGGTGAAGAGCAGATCTCCATGCAGGATGGAAAAAGGCCCCCTAGGTTTGTTTTTGCAAGAGAAAGGATTATGGAATGATTGGGACAATATACAGAAGGATTCGATGCCCATAAACTTCTGCTGAAATCCTTACTTCCCATACATAGACTGAAGGAGTAGGTATCTCTAAAGCTCAGCTACCACAGACCCCAAGGGTATCATATGTTCAGTTGCTGGTCAGTAAATGTTTTGTATGTGGGGTGTTTTCAGTATAGCTACTGCAGTGCAAACAGCAGCGTGCATCAGGGTGATGATGCAGATACCCTGTTCAACCTCACTTCTGGTCCATGCAGACATGACTGGCCAAATATGCCTTAAAAAGCAATAGCAGAACTGATTCAGCTGCAAGGTTAACTGCAGTAAGAACTATTTTCAGCTTACAGAAGCAGACCTTCCCTCTTTGGTATTGTGGATTAAGCTACGTTGTGTTTGGGAGATTCAGAAAAGGTCAGTGCAGAGCAGAAGGAGGAACCGGCTCAGTAAAATCAAGATCATCCAGACTCTGGATTAGCAAATACTGATTTTCCATTTACCTGTTTCAAAGTCTTCTATAAGCAAAAAACCCCCACAACAACAAACAACTCCTTTGCAAAAAAATGAATTATGAAAATGACCACTAAGGTGCATTTATTCTGCCCACTGACAAAATATAAACACAGGATATGTAATATTTTACATTCTTCAGCATTTCTCTTCCAGGAATTCTAAATCCATTGCAGATTTTGAGATAATCTTCATCTCCGTGAGTGCCTGGAGACAATTCCTTCCATAAGTATAAGAATTTAACTTGTTTAACCTTCTCCTAATACTCATTTGTATGAAATCAAATAGAAAACTAGATCAAAAAAATAAGGCCTGATACGGTGTGGCTCGCTCTAAAATGTGAATGTTACAGTTTTGACTAAGATTTACGGTTTTGAAAGCCTATTTATACTCTGTGCCACTAGTCTGGAAGGTCCTTGTTTTCCTGTTTGTCTGGAAAAGGGCATTTTTGTGTGTTACAGTCCAGCACTGATTGAGATTCTGTGCCTCTAGAGAAGAGAAAACCCACGAAAACACTTCTATTTATACCTTAGCTTTTGTTAGTCCTGATTTGTCAGAAGCTGGTTCACAACTTTAGTAGAACTATTTTTATACGATGCTGCCCTGAGAAGCTTTTTAAGGAAAGTGCTTTGTAAGTGGAAACTATATTGTTCAACACTTTCCAGCAACGAAAGCATTTTTTAACCAATCATGCATGGAATAATAGGATGCATTTCACATATACAATAAGGTATCTTGTTCACCAGAAAAACTGGAGGCCACGAGGCCAACAGCACAGTTCACAGCGTTTGCAGCTGCTTTGTTCCAGGGCAGCCTCTTGCTCAGGCTTTGCCCTCCCTGCCTGTCCTCTTGGGCAAGAGTGATGGCAACCATGTAAGAATAGGAGGGGGCTCTGGCTCATCATGTTATTGCTGAACCACAGAAAACCCCTCTCAGGTGCTTTTTCAAGAAGTCACAGTCATAGAATCACAGAATGGTTTGGGTTGAAGGGGCCTTAAAGCTCATCCAGCTCCAACCCCTGCCACAGGCAGGGACACCTTCCACTAGAGCAGGTTGCTCCAAGCCCCTGAGTCCAACCTGGCCTTGAACACTGCCAGGGATGGGGCAGCCACAGCTTCTCTGGGCACCCTGTGCCAGCCCCTCAGCACCCTCACAGGGAACAATTTCTTCCTAATACCTATTCTAAATCTACCGTCTTTCGGTTTAAAGCCATTCCCTATGTGCACTCTGTGTATTACATGGATTCACTCCATTAAATACATTGTAAGAACATGTTCCCAAGGAATGATGTGTTGTATAGCAGTACAAGAGAAACGTTAGGCATGCCTGTAATGATAAATGCTTCGTCTAGTGAATAAATCAAAACATCAATCCAAAAGCTGTCAAAAACTGCATTATAATGTAGAATCAATGATATTGCTTGCAATGATGCTTCTAGTCTCATAAGAGCACTCATAGCAGTGCAAAAATGAACGAAGCCTGAGGATTACACTGATTTAGTGTAGTCTAAATGCATGGCAAGACAGAGATGCACAACTGTGCTGAAGGAATTGGGCCTTGGAGAATTCCTGTTGTATTTATAGCACTCCACAACCACGTGATACTGGATTATGCTGAGGATGTTATCGCTCTGTGCCACATCTGCTCAACATTCCTTGCTGTTCTCTTGCCTGCTCTGTACCCGAACTACAAATTAGCCCCACGTAACACAAAAATAGCTGGCAGTGAAGATGCTCACTATCCATTCCTTGTAAGCGAGGAAAGCCTATGTCTCCCTATAACAATCCCTGGCTTGTGCATTGATGAAAGGTTACTAATGGAACCAGTGAAACATTTCCAGCCCTCCGGACATACTCGGACACTCTTGTGCCATGAGGGCCTATGTCTCAGCTAAGAGATAATTTCAGCTGAAGGCTTAACTTTGCTCCTGATTTCACTACATCCTCCCCCCAGGTGGTGCAGGGAGACACAGGGAATAGGGTTGTGGTCAGTTCATCACACACTGCCTCTGCTGCTCCTTCATCCCCAGGGGAGGATGCCACACTCTTCCCATGTTCCATCATG